GAGAGGGAGGAGATGTACAATTTGGGACATTCTCAATCTGACTTGGCCCAAATGGTAGAGTTAGATATGTGGCAGGGGATTCCAATTCAATCCCGTCAAGGTGGCATGTACCAATGCCATCTAACTAGCCAAAGTGATCAGTTTCAGTTCACAATTGATCATAATGATAGGACTAAGAGTCAAAGGGATCACACAAACAAGACTAGTGTCTGCTAATACTAACTGATAGAAGTAAAATGGGAGAGAATGATCCAACATGGGAAGTGGGATACATAGAAGACTCATAGAATGGCAGATGTCCTAAACAGCACTCTGGCCTCAGAATCAGCCCTTAAGGTATTCAGAACTGGCTGAAAAGCCCATGAGAGTATTTTAGGCATGGAAAGCCAAGACACTGTGGCAAAAAAAGGACCTAAATGAAAGTTCTCTGTGAGATCCCAGTGGAAAGAACAGGCCATCAAAGAAGGAGGTGCCTTTCTCTGAAGGGAGGAGAGAACTTCCACTTTGACTATGACCTTGTCTAAATAAGATCAGAGTTGGTGAACTCAAAAGTCTTCCATTTCCTTGGCAGCTCATGACAAGAGCCTCAGGTGATTACTGACGCCGTAAACAAGAGTGTCAATTGTTAAGTCAACAACAGGAGTCACTGTGCACTTACTCTGTCTTTAAAGTGTTATACTATGTGAATTAATGGCATAACTAGTACTCAAAGAGTACTTCACACTTTGTGTTTCTGTGTGGGTGCAAACTGTTGAAATCTTTACTTAATATATACTAAATTGATCTTCTGTATATAAAGATAATAGAAAATGAATCAATGTGAATGGAATGGGAGAGGGAGCAGGAGATGGGAGGGTTGCCAGTGCCAGAGAAGTTATGGGGGCGGGGGAGCCAAAGCTGTACTTTGGAAATTTATATTTATTAAATAAAAGTTTAAAAAAAAACAAGTACATGAGCAAGCACATGCTGCCAATCACAGTGTGCACTAACACTAACCTGGATCAGAAACTGAGGCAAAATTCGCACCTGGGCACTCCAATATGGGATGTGGGATTCCCAAGTGGTACCTTAATTACTGACCAATATGCCCACTAAAAGACAAACATTTTTGACATCAACTTATTAAAACAAAAAGCTTTTCCATGATATATTGTGCAAAACAATGAATATTCTCTTACCGGAACTGATAAGCTATTCTGTACTCACAGTGGCATAGACATGGACCACAACACTCTGGACACCCACAATGACTGAATCACATGTCCGCATTATGAGGGAGGTGGATGAGATGATAAAGTCCACCGAGTACATGACCAGTATTTAGTGATAGCCATCAGATTGGTCTGGGTCCCATTGGAAGATGCCACTGTGTGGAAGAGTGTGCTAGTACTGAAGCACAAACATACCAGACATATGAGGAAGAATAAATAGAATATGAAATGCATGTATTTATACTTAAACTGTGCCAACCAGGAGGTGCCAGGACTGATGGTGATGGCCTGGGTGATGCTCATGAGGCAGGTGGTGCAGATGGAGAGGACCCTCATCACCCTGTTTACATTGAACAAAGCCTTACACTTGAAGTCAGTCCATACATTCAATGACTCAAACAGGTCTGGAGAGTGCAAAAACAGCATAGTAGTGAGCAAAGCAATGTGGACAAAGGCCAGGTGGCAGCTGGCCAGGTCAGTGGGCTTAGGCCGCCTATCCAGCAGGATTGTGGAGATGTGAGAGAGGAAGAGGAACGTGTTGGTTGAGATTCCAATACCAGCTTGATAAAGAATGCATTTATAAACAGCAATGTAAGCAGACATTGGGCTCATCTTATAATGTCAGGGAAGAAACACATGCATGTCTGAAAAGCAAACAAACAAAAACAGATGACATTATTCTGCCTACCAGAAATTTGCCTTCTAAATTACTATCTTCACAACGGTCCTGGATCTCTCACAGTTTCAGTTTCCATCTCAGAAATTTCTTTTGTGAATTCTCTTATATTCAGGAGTATATTGTCCTGCTTTCAAGCCTCAAGAGGAAAACATCTTAATTTCTTCATTTTTGTGATAACACATGAGACTGCACAGCAATCATGACATGGCGACACTTTCATTGCTAATTTACTTGAAACAGGGACACTTTCCCACGCTTTGAAGAATGCTTAGATCCTTAGTAGTTAAATAATTCACTTCAACTCTTATTTAAGATAGATCCAATGTGAATTTTTTTCCATTTTTTGCATACTATTGCCTCAGATTCAGGCATAACTATCCTCTCTAATTAATTTTATCTAGGGTATCTTTGTCCATTTCATATGGACTAAATATGATTTATACATTTTAGAGATTTATTTATTTGAAAGACAGATGCAGAGAGAGAGAGAGGCCTTCCATCTGCTGGTTAACTTCCCAAAGGGCTGCAACAGCTGGAGCTGGACCCATCTGCAGCCAGGAGCTTCCAGGTTTCCCACGTGGGTGCAGGGGCCTAAGAACTTAGACTATCTTTGACTGCTTTCCCAGGCTATTGCTGAGAGCTGGATAGGAGGTGGAGCAACCACAACTCAAACAGGGACCCAAAGGGATGACAGCACTGCAGGTGGTGGCTACACTCACTAAGCCACAGTGCCAGGCACAAATTTATAAATTTGTAAATGACAGAAATTTTCCTCACTGTCCAAGATTGAACAACAGCTATGTGATGGGTGCCTACTTTGTTCATCATCCCACAGTAAAAGGTGAAGGAGCAAGAGAGTAAGGGGGCTAATGTGCCTGTTTATAATGGCACTAATCCCATCTGCAAGGTGGACTCGCACGCCTAATCACCTAAAATTATAATTAAATTTCTTTTTTTTAAGATTTATTTATTTATTTTCAAGTCAGAGTTACACAGAGAGAGGAAAAGGAGAGAGGGGGAGAGGGGGAGAGGGGGAGAGGGGGAGAGGGGGAGAGGGAGAGGGAGAGAGAGAGAGAGAGAGAGAGAGAGAGTTCTTCCATCCACTGTTTCACTCCCCAAACGGCTGCAATGGCCGGAGCTGTGCTGGTCCCAAGCCAGGAGCCAGGAGCTTCCTCTGGGTCCTCCCACGAGAGTGCAGGGGCCCAAGAATTTGGGCCATCCTCTACTGCTTTCCCAGGCCATAACAGAGAACTGGATCAGAAGTGTAGCAGCTGAGACTTGAACGGGTGCCATATGGGATACCGGCACTGCACATGCCGACTTTACCCACCATGTCACTGTACTGGCCCCAGTTTCTCCATTTTACACACATGCATTTTTTTCAAAGGCACAGTTAGACAGTGAGAGAGAGACAGAGAGAAAGGTCTTCTTTTTTTTTCCGTTGGTTCAGCTCACAAGTGGCCACTACAGCCAGTGCATTGCAGCCGGCATGCTGCGCCAATCTGAAGTCAGGAGCCAGGTGCTTCCTCCTGGTCTCCCATGCAGGTGCAGGGCCCAAGGACCTGGGCCATCCTCCACTGCAATCCTGGGCCACAGCAGAGAGCGGGACTGGAAGAGGAGCAACCGGGACAGAATCCGGCACCCCAATCGGGAATAGAACCCAGAGTGCTGTCACCACAGGCAGAGGATTAGCCTAGTGAGCTGCAGCGCTGGCCCACACATGCATTTTAATTATCATTGTATATGTTTTAAACTCAAAGGAAATGCCTAAATATGAGCAAGAACAAAAGATCTCAACATTCCTGTTTTAACTTACATATTTATATTGATGGGCCTATCATAAGCAGCCTTGATAACATAATCAAATAATCATCACCCTCATAAAAAGGGAGAGGATGCAATTTTCTGGGTTTTTTCTCATCAATATACAGCTAAAGTGTTCCAATCCCTTGCTATAAGTTAAATGCTTTCTCTGAAATTCATGTTGAAATTTAATTATAATTTTAGGAAGTGATTAGGCATGAGAGCTCCACCTGCGTGGGTGTGATTAGTGCCATTATAAACAGGCACATTAGTCTTCTTTACTCTCCTGCTCCTTCAGCTTTTCTGTGGGACAATGAATAAAGAAGGCACTCATTACATAGCTGTTCCTGGATCTTGGACAGTGAGGAAAATTTCTGTATTTAAAAGTTTATAAATTTGGAGCTGATACTGTGATGTAGCGGGTAAAGTCACCAGTTGCAGTGCTGGCATCTCTTATGTGTGCTGGTTTGAGTCCCTGCTGCTCCACTTCTGATCCAGCTCTCTGCTATGGCCTGGGAGAACAGTGGAAGATGACCCAAGTTCTTGTGTCCCTGCACCCATGTGGGAGATCTGGAAGAAGCTCCTGGCTCCTGGCTTTGGATTGGTCCAGCTCTGGCTTTTGCAGTCCTTTGGGGAGTGAGCCTTTCTCTCTCTCTCTCTCTCTCTCTCTCCCTCCCTCCCTCCCTCCCTCCCACTATGCTTCCATACCATTATCTTTCAAATAAATGGCTAAATGTTTAAAAATTTATAAATTCTATTATAGCAGCATGAAATAGAATGACACCCTAGATTAAATTAATTAGAGAGGATAGTTATGCCTACATCTGAGTCAATAGCATGTTAAGTAATGAAAAAATAACATTGGATCTATTTTAAATAAGGCTTGAAGGACTCATTTTAACTACTGAGGATCTAAGAATTATTCAAAGCTCAGTAGAGTGTCCCTGCTTTAAGTAAATTTGCAATGAAAATGTCACCATGTGATGACTGCTGTGCGATCTCTCTTGTGTATCACAAAACTGAAGAAATTTGATGTTTTCCTCTTGAGGCTTAAAAGCTGAACTTTGACAATATCCTCCTGAATAGAAGAGAATTCACAAAAGAAATGTCTGGCATGGAAACAAACTGTGAGAGATCCAGGACCATTGTGAAGATAGGAATTTTTTTTTTCTTTGACAGGCAGAGTGGACAGTGAGAGAGAGAGACAGAGAGAAAGGTCTTCCTTTGCCGTTGGCTCACCCTCCAATGGCCGCCGTGGCCGGCGCGCTGTGGCCGGCGCACCGCGCTGATCCGATGGCAGGAGCCAGGAGCCAGGTGCTTTTCCTGGTCTCCCATGGGGTGCAGGGCCCAAGCACCTGGGCCATCCTCCACTGCACTCCCTGGCCACAGCAGAGAGCTGGCCTGGAAGAGGGGCAACCGGGACAGAATCCGGCGCCCCGACTGGGACTAGAACCCAGTGTGCCAGCGCTGCTAGGCGGAGGATTAGCCTAGTGAGCCGCGGCGCCGGCCGAAGATAGGAATTTAGAAGGCAAATTTCTGGTGGTTTTATAAAGCCATCTGATGACATGAGATACACTGTTTTTGGTTTGTTTGCTTTTCAGACATGCATGTGTTTCTTCCCTGACATTATAAGATGAGCCCAATGTCTGCTTACATTGCTGTTTGTAAATGCATTCTTTATCAAGCTGGCATTGGAATCTCAACCAACACGTTCCTCTTCCTCTCTCACATCTCCACAATCCTGCTGGATAGGCGGCCTAAGCCCACTGACCTGGCCAGCTGCCACCTGGCCTTTGTCCACATTGCTTTGCTCACTACTATGCTGTTTTTGCACTCTCCAGACCTGTTTGAGTCATTGAATGTATGGACTGACTTCAAGTGTAAGGCTTTGTTCAATGTAAACAGGGTGATGAGGGTCCTCTCCATCTGCACCACCTGCCTCATGAGCATCACCCAGGCCATCACCATCAGTCCTGGCACCTCCTGGTTGGCAGAATTTAAATATAAATGCACACATTCCTTCTTCTACTTATTCTTCTTCATATTGTTAATCTGTTTGTCTTTCAGTACTAGCACACTCTTCCACACAGTGGCATCTTCCAATGGGACCCAGACCAATCTGATGGCTATCACTAAATACTGCTCATTTTCCCCCATAAAGCATGGCATCATGAGCTTGATGTTCACACTGACCACATCCAGCGACGTCTTCCTGGTGGGAGTCATGCTGCTCTCAAGTGCATACATGGTGATCCTCTTACTCAGGCATCAGAGGAGGTCCCAGCACCTTCACAGCACCAGCCTCTCCCCAAGATCCTCCCCAAAGAAAAGGGCCACCCAGACCATCCTGCTGCTGGTGACTTTCTTTGTGGTCATGTACTGGGTGGACTTCATCATCTCATCCTCCTCCCTGATACTGTGGACATACGACTCAGTTAAAGTTATCTTGGGTGTCCAGAGTGTTGTGGTCCATGTCTATGCCACGGTTAGTCCATTGGTGCTTATCAGTTCTGATAAGAGGATACTCAATGTTTTGCACAATATACCTTAGAAAAGCTTTTTGTTTTAACAAGTTGACAAAATGTTTGTCTTTCATTGGGCATGCTGTTTAGCATTTAAGGTACCACTTGGGATGCCCACGTCTCATACTGGAGTGCCCAGGTTCAAATTCTGCCTCTGTTTTGATCCAGCTTTTTGTTAGTGCACACTCTGAGTGGCAACACATGCTTGCTCAAGTACTTGGGATCCTGTCACCCACATGAGAGTGATATCTGGAGATCTAGGATCTTGGTGTTGGCCTAGCCTAACCCTGGCTGTGCACATCAGCAATGAACAGCAAACTTATGATTATATGTATATTTATCATCTATCTATCTATCATCTATCTATTCATCATCTCTCTTCTCTCCGACACTAAGTAAAAATAAATAATTTTAAGAATGACTGTCTTGCAATACCTGTATCTGAGAACATACAAATTATTCTGCTACATCAGGTTCCTATCTGATTAATTCAGTTGCATGGAATTATACTTTTCTTATTTCTAAATGCTTTGGTTCATATTTTGTCCAGAATTTACATTTCTTTAAATCAACATCTAGCATGATTTAAGATTTCCTACATTTACAAGCTTCTTGTTTTTTTCATTCTGATTTCAGAAAATCATACAGGAAAACTTTTAAGTGAATGCTTTAGACATATCTGATGGCAATCAAATCTTTCATGACTTATTTGAAAAATATTTTTATTTTATTTTTAATTAAAAATAGGTAAGTATTTAAATGTAACCTGGATATCCATTTTTGTCTACAATGATAATTTTTAGTATCTCTCTTGGATTATACAAGAGCTGTGTAGAATGTTCTGTCACTTTTTAGGTTGGTTTTTTTTTTTTTTTTTTTTTGGACAGGCAGAGTGGACACTGAGAGAGAGACAGAGAGAAAGGTCTTCCTTTTGCCGTTGGTTCACCCTCCAATGGCCGCCACAGCTGGCGCACTGCAGCCAGCGCACCGCGCTGATCCGATGGCAGGAGCCAGGTGCTTCTCCTGGTCTCCCATGGGGTGCAGAGCTCAAGCACTTGGGCCATCCTCCACTGCACTCCCTGGCCACAGCAAAGAGCTGGCCTGGAAAAGGGGCAACCGGGACATAATCCGGTGCCCTGACCAGAACTAGAACCCAGTGTGCCAGCGCCACAAGGTGCAGGATTAGCCTAGTGAGCCGCGGCGCTGGCTTCTTATTTTCTATCATCCAATTTTGCTTCTACCTGGTTATGCAGTTTAACATTTATTTCTGTTTGAATGCTTCTATTTATTTATCTCTATTTTAAGGCAATGAAACGCTAAATCAATGTCTTATGTCTGATTGCTATGTTTGGCATTTATAAATTATTTTATTGGGTTAATATATCTCATAATTGTGTCAATTTTCTAAATCTAAAGATACAAATAAATGTGTTTTATTCATTATCATTCTAGTTTAAACCTATATATAATCAAATTTATATATGCTACTGCAATACCACCCTGTGATATAATTTGGCAGCTTAATCTTCCAGTTAATCACTCTCATCACCTCAGCTTAATGTCTCAATTCTGTGTTTACTTTATTTTGCTTACTTTATTACAGTTTTTTCAAATGTTTACATTTCATTTGGTTCTTTTATAAATTTGGCTAATCAAATTTGCGGTTCCTTCATTTTACTATTTCTAATTCTCAACACTAGTTCAATTATTTTCATTTTCTTTTAATTAGTTAACTATTTGAAACATAATTCTGATATATAATTTCTGTGAACTTTCCTTGTTGTGGCTTATTTCTGTGTATGCTCCATTACTTCCAATTTGGCTTTCATATTTGGTATACTTTGATCCTTGGAAAGTCTCCAGTTTTCATATTTCCTTGCTTAATCCAGTTGGCCAGAGGGAAAGTTAAGTGTTCAGCCACTGTCCCTAAGGTAGCACGTGTCTCTTAATTTGATTTCTCCTCTCTCTGTTGATTTGTTTGATCTTGGGAAATTCTTCAATTTTCCTTTTGACTCTCTTGGACATTTTAAGGATGCTCTGAACTTCTTGAGTACATTTAGTTATTATATTCAAAATGTTTTGGGAACATGTGGCATATATTTTATCACGTGCATGTATATACCAAATGCACAGGAGTATAACATTTTATATTAATTGTTTGTGGCAGAAAAAAAGTGTCTTAAAAGAAATACTAGGTTTCTGATTATGGAACTTTTCATGAAAGAATAATGTACAAATCCATTAATGATGATTTCTAGATTTGCTTATTTTTAATGTTTTATGGGTAATTTTATGTTTTCTACAAATTTATGGAAATCAAAATCTTTATAAGAGTGATTAATAGGAGAATATGGTCACAATTAATATTTTTTCATAAAAATATAATTTTTTAGAAGTTACTAGCTGTGTTAGTTACCTGAATACTTTTTTTTTCATGTAATCATTAAAGTCCTACCTATGACTTTTCTGATTCCTCAAAAATAATTTCTTTGGATGTTTCATTTGATAAACTGTTAAATAAGATGATTTAAATAAAATATAAATTTTTCTGCATGACTTCTTGGTAACTTTTTTTAATTTATTTGACAGGTAGAGATATAGATAGATAGAGAGACAGAAAGGTCTTCCTTCCGTTGGCTCACTCCCCAAATGGCCGCTACGGCTGGCGCTGCGCCGATCCGAAGCCAGGAGCCAGGTGCTTCTTCCTGGTCTCCCATGTGTGTGCATGAGCCCAGGCACCTGGGCCATCCTCCACTGCCCTCCTAGGCCACAGCAGAGAGCTGCACTGGAAGAAGAGCAACCAGGACTAGAACCTGGCGCCCACATGGGATGCTGGCACTGCAGGCAGAGAATTAACCAAGTGAGTCACAGCACCAGCTCCCTTGGTAACATTGTAATTGGTAGTTCTATCTGTCACTTCACAGTTGAGAAAATACAGAATTTGTAGATTAATATATTCATAACATTATTGGATCCTAAAGTGTTGAAATTTTCAAAATGTCTTCTTACTATTTGTAAATGGCATTCACTCTGTTTACTGGCTAAAATGTTGTCTATGTTCATATCTTACTAACCTGCTGATTTTTCCAATAAAATTACTTAATTTTCATTATATTTATCCTTATTATATACTCGAAGTTTGATTTGTGATAGTTTTGATGATGCTTATATAATTTTAAATGTACTACTTCATCTTCTTTTCAATGAATCCCCATATATTTATAAAATGTTACTAATATTTCCTAAGCTTATTTATTATTTAGCTGAATGGAAGAGTGACAAGAAAATGATAGGGGGAGAGAGAGAGAAGAGAGAGAGAGAGAAGGAGAGAGAGAGAGAGAGAAGGAGAAAGAGAGAGCATACATTCCATCTCCTGGTAAATTCTTCAAGTGCCCACAACAGCTTGGGCTGGGCCAGGCTTTAGCCAGAAGCCGGTATTGGCAATGCATGCAAATGATATATAACATGAGACAAATTAGTAATAAGAACTCTGATTCACCAAATTATCATATGTTCATACTGTTCTTCATTTATAATTTTATATTTTGTGTTTTGATTCAAGTTTCATTATATAAATTTTGACTCAAAAGAGAATGTAACCTCAGTCTGTCATCTTGATAAAACTCAAAGTCAAAGGGCAGACTTCATCAGTTTACACATGTACAACCTTGCATTTGTCTCATAAGTCAGGGGAAGCACATAGTACAGCGGTTTTCTCCTTCCTACATCTGAGTAAACAGAAACAATGTATTAATAGATTCCTCAATGCTTCCTTTCACTTTATTTTTACTACATCAGCTTCCATGGAAATTAAGAATAAGGAATACCACAGATTAAGAAAAAGTCAATAATGACAAAAATTATCAAACCTGACTAAACAACAAATATATTAACTCATCTATAGTATGAGAAGATGTTAATTCATTAAAATCTTCATACAAAATAATATGAAATTGCAAACATGAGGGGTCTTCAAAAGCTCATGGAAAACACATAAGAAAAAACTAACCATGAATTTGAGAATATTTTGCAACAGAATCCGGCGCCCCGACCGGGACTAGAACCCGGTGTGCCGGCGCCGCAAGGTGGAGGATTAGCCTATTGAGCCACGGCGCCGTAAAGTTAGTGGAAATTAATATGTGATCATCTTAAGCATCTGGCTAAGCCTACCACCATTTATGATTAAAACCATCAACAAAGGATTGAAGATAACTTACACAAGTTGATAAAGAGCACCTGTGTAGGGCAGTTAATTTATTGTGGAGGTTAACATACTTGTTAGGAATCCCAGATCCCATATCACAGTGCCTGGGTTCAAGTTCTGGTTCTATCTCCTATCTTCTCTCTGTTAACATAGACCGACCACAGGTAGCAGTGGTGATGGCTCAAATAGTTCAATTCCTGCCACTCATGCCTGAGATCTGGATTGAGTTCTCAGCTCCTGACTTCTGTTCTGACCATACTCTGGCTGTTAAAAGCATTTGACATGTAAACCAGCATTTAGAAGATAGCTCTGTGTATAACTCTGTCTTTTTCACACTTGATCTTAGCCAAAAGGCCAAGAAGCAATAACTGTCTTTTTCTCTGTCGCTCTATCTCTCCCTGTGTCACTCTGTCTCACAAATGTATAAACTAATATTTTCTTTTGACAGGCAGAGTGGATAAGTGTGAGAGAGAGACAGAAAGGTCTTCCTTTTGCCAGGATGATATGCAAGATATACCTGTTGGCATAATTTCAGTCTCACCTCCTCTATTCCAAGGTGATCAATGACAGAGGTTATCCCACAATGGGTACAACACCCATCCACGCTGGCACATGAATTACACAATAGATCTGTGTAGTACTCTGTATAAGCAAGGAACCTTTGGCAATGACCCAACCCAGGCCATTAGGGACCTCTGAGCCTCTGATGCCAGACACAGTGATTGCCCAGAGACCCAGATACAACCTGTGCCCTAACATGCAGTCACGGTATTCCCACAGTCACAGCTACAGGGTGATGACCTGCATGTCTGTCCTGTCCAACGCGAAAACAGAGATGTTCTCAGAGCCAGCTGCTCAAGGATGCTCTGCCTTGGCATTTTGAGTCTTGGAACCTGTGATATGTGGACAGGAAGGGGGCACCTCACAGTCCTATGTGGTTGCCTGGTCCCTAGTTCAACCCTTCAAGTGAAATCAGTGGGTAATGTGGATTTTTCCCTCACAAAATCCCCTGCACAAAAGCAACCACCAACTCTACTGGTGTCAAGAGGGCACCTTCTCCCCACCAGTTGCCAGGCACCTTTGTCGGAGGATAGGAAGAAATAAATGCCTTTCCTTTCACTCAATTAGGTGGATACCATGCCCTCTGTTAGGGCTCCATTCCAGACAGTGTGGTCCACAAAGCTCTCCCCCATACAAAATCACCAGTGGCCTAGGCTGCACAGTCACTTCACACTGCGATATCCAAAGCTGGCACCTCCTCCAGTCCCTGGCTGTGGGAGTCATGCGAGGTGTCCCCACTCATTGCTGCAGGTCTGCACCTTCCCCACTGCTCCTCAGCATCCCCCTTCCTTCTGTAGAATTTCCACTGCAACTATTCCCTGGGGATGCACTACCCATTCCTCCCACCTCCGAACCTGCTTTTCTTCTGCTATTTTCCCCGTAGTCAAAAGCAGCACATCTCCCCATTCCGGTATCTTGGAATCTGCAATTTTTTCATTATGGAATTGGGCCTATGTGCCATCATACATTTTTATAAAGATGTACATGTGCTTTATTTAAACATAAAGAAATGAAAAAAAAACTATACTAGTAGAGGTAACCA